ATAAATAAATACACACACACACACACACACACACACACGCTTTGTGCTGAAAGAGATAAGAGTTATATTTGTGGTTTCCAAGGTCTCAGTAATGGAGGGTGGTCAGATGAGGGACCAGTCAGAATGAAGATAGTAGTAGACAGAGCAAGTTGTAATGGAGATAGTAGTAGAGCAAGTTGGTTTCAGACTTCTTAATAATTGATGGTATCCATATATATAGCATATACCATCAATTTAACAGAAGTCCAGAACCAACCTAGTGGGAGATCTGACGATCTGCTGTCCATAAAGAGTATAGCCTAGAATACCCTATAGAATAAATTCCACTCTGTCAAGTAGGGTTGCAATTGCCATCAAATTGACGGCATCTAACAGCATCAGTAATACAGGCTACAGACTTCAGGGAATGGTCAAATAACGTATGTTATCTGACTGAATTTCTGGCCATCAACCATGTTTCACATTTTGAGCTAATAAAGTATCTTCAATTTTAGATGAGAAGTAGAGAAATTTTAACTTTAGCAATTTATACATTTAGTCGTGGTTTTTTTTTTTTTTTTTACATTTAGTAAATTTTGAGGCAAACTTTTTCGTATAATTTCTTTTTTGTATTAAGTTTTGCCTGTACATGATATAAGCTTTATTGTACACTGAAAACTAATGTAGAAAAAGTGTGTTTTCAAGGAATAGAATTTTAAGGTACCATAGTTAAAAGTGTTTGGCTTGCCACATGAGGGCATAAGGTTAAATGAAGACTGCTGGATTTCAGAGCAGTGTTTTTTCAGACTTCATGTTGTGACCCATTAATGGTCTTGGAAGCAATTTTGTGGATTTTTACCAACACAAGATAAAAAGAAAAATACCGTATATTACACTTAAATGGGATTTTAAAAATTATTATTATTGACTAAATTTTGTTTTATAAGTGTTGGGTTGGAATGTAAAATTTATGTTGTGTTAAGGGCTGTGGTCAAAAAGGTTACAAAAATACATGGGATATATAGATATGTATGGGTCAAGTCTAAGGTCTTTAGACCTTAGTGGTAAGAGCTTGAGGTCTTGGGGTGAGGAGGGAAGATGTTAAAAGCTGTTAAGCTCATGTAATTTTCTTACTTTGGATGAATTTGAGGATTCTGTACTCCTTGTAGGAGCTCTGGTCACGTAGTGCATAAGGCATTTGACTGCTAACCAGAAGGCTAGGGGTTTAAACCGCCAGCCACTCCTTGGAAGGCAGGTTGGGCAGTCCACTTCCATAGTGATACCGCCTCGGAAACCCAAGGAGGGGTCACTATGAGTCAGTCCAACTTGACGGCAGTGCATTGCGTATACTCCTTGTAAGGAGCTCTGGTGGCATAGTGCCTGAGGCATTTGACTGCTAACAAGAAGGCTGGCGGTTCAAACTCACCAGCCACTCCTCGGAAAGAAGATGGGGCAATCTACTTCCATAGTGATACTGCCTTGGTGGGAGCTCTGGTAGCATAGTGGCTAAGACACTTGCCTGCTAACCAGACGGCTGGCGGTTCAAACCCACCAGCCACTCCTCGGAAGGAAGGTTGGGCAATCCTACTTCCGTAGTGATACTGCCTCGGAAACCCAAGGAGGGGTCGCTATGAGTCGGGGCCGACTCGACGGCACACAACAACAACAACAACAACAACAACTGCCTTGGAAACCCAAGGAGGGGTCGGAGCGGTCACTATGAGTCGGGTCTGACTTGAGGGCACATAACAACAACAACAACATAAACATTTCCATTTCTGTGCTCTGAATTTCTATCCTTTTCTGACATAAAGTGATAAACAATTCACAGCCTGGCTCACTGGTCCAGACTACACTTTGAATAGTCTATCCTACAGTAACTAACAGCCCTAACAATTTCATTGGGAGTGGTTAAAATGAGGTCTTATCATGCTACAGTTTATGTACTTTATTCTTTAGGTCAGTGCTGCTGCTGCTTTTTTTAATTTTTATTTTTATTGTGATTTGGTTGAAAGCTTACAGAGCAAATTCATTTTCCATACAGCAGTTTATACATACTCTGCTTAATGACATTGACAGCAGTTCCTTGTAATGTGATAGCTCTCTTCCCACTTCCTCCCTGTAGCCTCCTTTTCCCTGTGTCCATCTTTGTTATGCATTCTGGCCCCTTGAAATGTCTTGGTATGCAAATACTGCCCTTCTGTTTTCCCATGCTTGATTGTTTATCTACGGATATGAATGTTCACCCCGTATGCTATCTATTGTTTGGCTGGAAGCCACGGGAATGAGTTCAATTCCAGATATGATGGGTTACTAGGGGCCCGTAGTCTCAGAGGTCTTACCAGTCTCTATCAGACCAGTAAACTGGCCTTTTTTTTTTCCCTGTGATTTTGAATTTTGTTCCACACTGTTCTCCCACTTTATCCAGGATCTCCTGTACTAATACATTTTTAAAGTGGTTGACAGTGGTAGCTGGGCACCATGTAGTTCTTCTGGTCTCATGGTCATATAGGCTGAGGTTCTCATGGTCCACTAGTACCATGGACTAATTGTTTACCTTTCTTTTTGGTTTTCTTCATTCTTCTTTTCTTTGGATGAAACATTTTCTTTGGGTGTAACATTTGTTACATCTAAATGGCCACTTGCTAGCTTTTAAGACCCCCCCGTCCCTGCTAGCTTTTAAGACCCCCGTCCCTACTTACCAAAGTAGGATGTAGAACAATGTTTCTGTGTAGTATGTTATGCCACTTGAGCTTGATGTTCCCTGCGTAGGTCAGTGCTTCTTAAACTGCCTTCAGATTACTTTGCAGACAGAGGAGAATTATTAAGTATCTCTGAAGAGGGTTAAGGAGCTCTGGTGGCATAGTGTCTAAGGCATTTGACTTCTAACCAGAAGGGTAGTGGTTCAGATCCACTGGGCAATTTGCTTCCATGAAGATTTGTTGTTGTTGTTGTTGTTGTTTGCCATCGAGTTGGCCCCACTCATAGTGGCCCCTCCTTGGGTTGCCGAGGCAGTATCACTACGGAATTAGATTGCCCAACCTTCCTTCCAAGGAGTGGCTGGTGGGTTTGAACTGCCAGCCTTCTGGTTAACAGTCAAGTACCTTAGGCACTATGCTACCAGAGCTCCTACCTTGGAAACCTGAAGGGGGCCCTTGTGAGCCAGAATCGACTCAGTGGTAGTGTGAGTTTGGTTTGTTTTTTTTGGTCTTGAGAGGGTTGGAGGTGTAGCATGAAGTTACTTCTGCTTACAGATTTTTTTTCCTCCTTAATTTTATCTTAGGCATTCATGTGGCATTTACACTTTATTCTATATTTGTTTATTATAATTTCCCACTTTCCTTCCCACCTATTTGTAAGTAAAAAGTGACTCCTGAAAAGGTAACATGTTAATTCTGTTACTTTTGTTTACCTCTGGGACCACAACTAAATATTTTTGGCAGCTTCATATGAGAAGTGTGGTTCAAAGCCTGGATTTCTCAACCTTGGCACTTTTGACATTTGGGGTTTATAATTCTTTACTGGGGAGGGGAACTGTCTTGTTCATTGTAGTCTGGCAGCATCTCTAGCCTCTGCTTACTAGATGACAGAACCCCTGCCTTCTGACTATTGTAAATGTCTGCAGATATTGCCCAGTGTCCTTGGGGGGTAAAATTGCCACTGAACGAAAACCACTACACTAAATGATGGAGATCATTGAAGGATTGTAGAAGATGGGGAAAAAGAATATAGCTTTTATACAATAAAATGTAAGATTGTAAGTATTCAGTGAATTTTGACAAATAAATACACCCATATGAATTATTCTAATCAAGATATATATTATATTAATCACCTCAGAAACATTTTTGTGTCCTTTGGCAGTCAGTCCCCTACTGCTCTTGATAACCAGTGATCTATTTTTTTTTTAATCTATATAGATTAATTTTGTTTTTAAAATACCTTTGTTGAGATTTTATTCATATACTGCACAGATTGTCAATTTGTTCATTGATTTAACACCCAAGAAGTGTCAGAAACTGGAAATAGTAGCAATCAAGAAAGCTATGGCCTATACTTTCATAATCTTAATGTATCATCTGTGTTTTCATTTCTGAAAGTACTTTTTTTTGAGTAGGTGATATAATCACTTGGTTCAAAATTCAAATGGTTACAAACTTTTTTTTCTTATTCTTGTCCCCCCTGTCACTCAGGTTCCTTTCCCATGGGCAACCTATATTAACAGTTACTTGTATATTCTTCCAGAGGTGTTTTGTACACATGTGCAAAAACATACAGCACCCATAACCTCATGATAGCTTAAGGCACACATTCTTCCTCACCTTGTTTTTTATTTACTCAAGTGTATCTTGGATTGTCCCATATCAGTACATAAAAGGGTATCCTTTTTTTTTAATACAGTTGCATAATTCTGTTATATGAATAGATCATGATTTGTTTAACCTATCCCTTTTTGATAGGCACTTATTTTCAATGTTTTGTTATTACAAACCAGAACATGATGAGTAAATTGGGACATTCAGCGCTTTTGAGCTCTTTGAAGGAAGACAGTTTATCAATTACAGTGGTAGTATGGATGTTATTACTAGTTTAGAACTTAAACACTCAAGTTCATTCATTTAACAGATGTCTTGTGTCTGCTGTGTGCTGGCCACAGGGAAAACTGGGTTAAATGCTGTGACAGTAGAAATAGGCAATGTGATTAAGAATTTAGGAGTCACCTGGATTCCAGTCCCAACTCTAAAGCTTAACTGAACCTTGGACAGTGGGATCATAAGGTTATTGGAGAATTTAATGAGGTAATACATGGCAAGTGCTTAGCATGATGCCTGGCACATCACTCAAATGTTGTTTTTCTTTACGCCCAAATCAGACTGTATTGCAGTTGTTTACTTTTCTGCCTTCATTGTAAGTTTCTTGAGGCCAAGGACTGTATTTTGTTTGCTTTTGTATCTCTAGACCTTGTACATGCTTGGTAAATATATTTTGTGATATGAATTTAAAGTTATGTAGAGTATACAATGGTAGTGCAGTGCGTGAGATACCTTTCCAAGCTAGAAAAACTGAATTTTGAAAGGTAGGTGAGATGATTAGGCAGAGGAAGAAAGATTTATTACAGGCTGAAAAATCAAGTTAGTTTAAGGTTACAAGGGTAAACAAGGACTTGTGTGTGTTGAAGAGTTTTGTTTTTCATCTTGCTGGTTCTGGGGAGATGTAAGAATTTTAAAGAGGAGAAAAGTGGTAACCATGAGAATTGTGATGATAATTATGGTAGCACTCTGGAGGGATAGTAGAGCACCAAGGTCAAGTCAGAATTGAAAAAGCCTAATGCAGCAGTTCTTGGGCTAAAAATGAAAGACTGGGGCAGTGGCAGAGGGCATGAAGTGAGGAAATGGTTATGAGATATGAGGGAAGATACGGGTGGTGAGAAGGCATTCCAGAATATCTGAGCCTTCATTCAGGCTTGAGTGAACAGGTAGATGAGTACTATTTCTTGAAACAGGAAATGTAAAAACATAAATTTCAGAGGCCTGGGGGATATGTAAGTGGACATGTCTAATAGTTACAATACTAGGAGAGTCATCTAGGATGGAAAATGACATGTTTAAGATTATTATAAATTTATTCATTTATGTTTTGAAAATTTACATTAACAAATGAATCTGCCATATTCAGCCAAAGCTCTAATGTAGTGCTATCAACAAATTTTTTGTAATGTTTTTATAAGAGCCGATATTTGTATTTTGGTGAGCAGAGTTGAATGAAATTAGAAAGGAGGGATTTGAGTGTTCAGCGCCTTCACCTTGTCCTTCAACGTTAGACTGAGGTCACCAATGTCTTGAGTAGTACTAAAATGTTTACTTACTTAAAATTTCTCCTGGTACATTTCAGGGCACTAACTGTTTCAAACTAAGGGTAATGCTAGTGTTCCTTTGCATGAACGACATTTTGTATCTTTATGTGTTCAAATTACTCATTCAGATTATAGTTAAGAGTTCTTGCTTTTTGAGGAAGATTTGGTATATGTTGTCAATCAGTTTTAAAGAATGCTATAAATATTTTGAGTAAGACCATTGTGTAAGAGGCGGCAAAATCTTCATAGTAATTTTATCTTAGTGCTTTCTATTTATACTGTTACATAAAAAAAAAAAAAAAAACAGTATCACCTCATTTGTTAACACTTAGCATTCTGGGGTGTTAGGTGATATATACAAGGAAGAATTTTTCGCGAATGTATCATAAGCATCAACATTTTAAACCATTTTCAGTCAAAAAAATTAATAGATAGTGTTCCTTTGATTATTTAATTAACCAGAAAGAAAAAAGACATTAAACAATTTCAAACACTCTATAATGTGTGTTCTTTCTTAATTATATACATTTTTTCCATGGTTGTAATTAGTGGTAAATTAGTGGTTAGTCGTTCTTAACTAGGAGCTCTGGTGGCATAGTTCCTAAGGCATTTCACTGCTAACCAGAAGGCTGGTGGCTCAAACCCACCAGCTACTCCTCCGAAGGAAGATTGGGCAATCTACTTCCTTAGTGATACAGTCTCAGACACCCAAGGAGGGGTCACTAACTCTGGTCAACTATTGGAAACAATTGCCAACCTTAACACATATGACACATGGGCTTGTCAGATTCCAGGTGGGGCCCAGAAATTTGTATTTTAAATATTCTAGGTAATTTTAATGTACAACCAGGATTGAGAACCTATGATATGTAGTATATATCGTGAGGTAATACATCAATTTTTATACAAAACCAAACCAAACTAGTTGCCATTGGTCAGTTCTGACTCATGGCAAGCACATGTCTGTCAAAGTAAAATTACATTCCGTAGGTTTTTTTTTTTTTTAGTTGTGATTTGGTTGAAAGTTTACAGAGCAAATTCATTTTCCGTGTAATAGTTCATAAACAATTTTATGTCATGACATTGGTTATAGTCCCCACATTGCAATAGTCTCCTCCCACTTTCCCCCTGTAGCTGCCTTTTCACTGTGTCCTTCTTTACCCTTTGAGCTATCTCCCTGTGCAAATACTGCCCTTCTGATCTCCCATAGTTGATTGTTCTAAGGAATGTACCTACCAAGTGTAAGTGTTCATCCTGTATGCCTGTCCTGTTTGGCTGGGAGCCATGGGAGTAAGTTCAATTCCTGGCTTGAAGGATAACAAGAGGCCATAGTCTCAAGGGTTTCACGAGTCTCTATCAGACCAATAAACCTGGTCTTTTTTTTATGATTTTGAGTTTTCCACATTTCTCTCCCACTCTATCCAGGATTTCCTACACTGATCCCTTTCTGAGTGGTTGACACTGTTAGCTGGGCACCATCTAGTTCTTCTGGTCTCAGGGTCATGTAGGCTGAGGTTCACATAGTCTACTAGTCCCTTGGATCGTTTCCATGCATCTTTGATTTCCTTCATTCTTCTTTGGTCTGGATGAGAGGACAGACTGATTGTTGCATGTTAGATGACCACTTAAGAGCTTTTAAGACCTCAGTTGCTACTCACCAAAGTAGAATGTAGAACAATATTTTTGTGTAGTATGTTATTCTAATTGAGCTCCATGTCCCCTACAACCATTGTTCTGAGCCCATGGGCACAACAGCTCACTTCCTCAAGCTGGTGGCTGAGAAGTTATTATAACTTTGCCTTGTTAGCTCTATTATATATATGCGCTTTCTTATAGCACATGTAAATACATATGTAGAAATACCATCTACCAAACATATATATATAGTCATGAATATGCTCCCTTTTGCTTAGACGTAGCTGACCATTCAACCTGTCTACCTATATATCCACCTGTAGATTAACATTAGTTGTTACTGATAATGCAGTATTGTGCATGGAAAAGTGTTTATCTTTATAGTCTGTACCTCTTGTGCACCTCTGTATGTTGTCCTTTTCCTTATTGTTACTGTGTTGATCATTCGCTTTTGGTATATTGCCTTTCTCTTTACCCAAATCAAGGAGCTCTGGTGGCATAGGGCCTAAGGCATTTGACTGCAAACCCACCAGCCACTGCTTGGAAAGAAGACTGGCAATCTACTTCTGTAGAGATACTGCCTCAGAAACCCAAAGGGGGGTCGCTATGAGTCAGAACCCACTTGATGGCAGTGAGTTTTTTTAAACTATAACAGAATAAATCCCTGTTTGTTCAAATTATCCATCTGTGTTATTTCTGTTACAGTGGCACTAGATAATCAAAACACTTCCCCTCCCCTCCCAACCCTGATAACCAAAAGAGAAAATTTCCTTCCATATGTAAACCTTTCCTTGCCTTTTTGCAATCGTGAACTAATACAATATTTGTCCTTTTGTGATTGACTTAATGCACTCAGCATTGTGTCCTCCAGGTTCATACAAGGTGTGAGTAATGAGATTGCTGGATTAAATGGTATTTCTGTTTCCAACTTAAGGAATCGCTGTACTGTTTTCAACAGTGGTTGTATCATTTTACAGTGCCTCCATCAATGTATGAGAGTCTCAGTATCTCCCCATCTTCACCAGCATTTGTTACTGTACTGTTAGTGCTGAGGTTTTGATTTGCAACTCAAGTGGCTCATGATTGTGAACATTTTTTAATGTGTGTGTCCGCCACCTGAATATCTTCTTTGGTGAACTGTTTGTTCATGTCTTCTGCCCATTTTTCAATGGGATTGTTTGTCTTTTTTGATGATGAGGTATTGGAATTTTCTATAAATTTGAGAGATAAGTCCCTTCTCAGATGTGTCTTTGCCAAATATTTTTTTCCTCAATCTGTAGGTTCTGTTTTTACTCTTTGGGAGATGTCTTGATGCCTGTAAGAATTTAATTTTTAGAAGGTCTCAGGCATCTAGTTTGTCTTCGCTGTTTGTATATTTTTCCTTTCCATAGGGTTTGTAATGGTTGTAATTTTTAAAAAGTAAATTGCCAGGCCTTTCTGCCAAGGCACCTCTTGGTGTATTCGAACTACCAACCTTTTTTGTATCTTTTATTTGAATCTTCTGAAAGTTTTGAGATAGGTTTGGGAGTTTCATTGCTTCTTAATTGAAGATAGGTATTCTAAGCATAATTGATATCTGGTGGACTCTTTGAACAAATAAGAATCTTAGCCAAGATGAACTAAGGGAACCTTCTTTCCCCTCAGGTAATTTTTTCATTTGTCATATTATTGCTTCCAGTCTCGTAAGATTGTTGTACTTTAACACCACTTTTATAAAGTGATCTGTTGCAGGAATATGAGTATTTTTCCCCATTTTTTGTAGTATGAGTGTCTAGCGTTATTGTTAAAAATACTGTTTCCTGGACTCTACAAATATGATTCTATATCCCTACTTCCCAGCTGGGTAATGTTTTGTTTGTTGGAGTTGGAGCTGACTGGATGACAACAGACAACAACAAAAGCTGGAGCCCAGATACCTGGTTTTATCAAAAGCTCCCCAGAAGTTCCTAATTCAGCTAAATTTGGGAATCACTTACCTGCATGGTTAAAGGCCAGAGGCCTTACAATTGCTGTTATCTATTATTCAAGCACTGTAATAACTCATTTATTATACTTACATGGGAAGTGCCAGACTCTTTATATTAATTATTTAATTTAAACCATATAGTAATCTCAGAAATGTTATTCCCATCTAAGGCTTAGAAAGGTTAAGTAATCTACCTAATTGTCAAGGATTTCATTCTTCTTGTAAACATTCAGTGCCTACAGAAGCATCAGTGAAGAAGTCAAACCATGGATTGGGCATCTGCTCAAAAGACCTCTTTAAAACTGTAAAAAGCAAAGATGTCACTTTGATGATTAGGTGGGGCCTGACCCAAGTTTAGCGCTCAGCTGCTAATCTAAAGGTTGGTGGTTCATACCCACCTAACCACTCCACAGGAGAAAGATCTGGCAATCTGTAAAGATTACAGCCAAGAAAACCTATGGGATAAATAGTCGTTTTAAGTCAAAAATCGAGTTAGTGGCACGGCAACGTATACATACAAAAACTGGACAGTGAAAAAGGAAGACTAGAGAAGAATTGACGCATTTAAAATGTGGTTGGTGAAGAATAGTTAATATACCACGGACTACTGAAAGCATAGGAGTTGGTGTAGTGCCTGAGGTGATTGACTACTAACCAGAAGACTGGCGGTTCAAACCCACCAGCCACTCCTCAGAAGGAAGATTGGGCAGTCTACTTCTGTAGTGATACTGCTTCGGAAACCCAAGGGGGGGTGTCCCCAAGAGTTGGATCTAACTCCATGGCAGTGAGTTTGGTTTTGTTTATTGTTCTCTAGCTTCATTGTATATAGTACTATCTTGGGTGGAGTGTTGTTTTTATAAAAAATAAAATTTAAGACGTTGGTTATGGATAAATTAGAATTTGCAGTTTTGAGGTATCAAGTTTTTTGGTTGTAGATTAAACTTACAAAAATTCAGAAATATTTATCATAATTGAATAAAAAATTGATAATATAATTTGGTTTGCTCTTTAAAAGTTCTATCTAAGGAACCTAGTTTCTGTTTTCCTATTTGTGTCAATGTAGGGAAGGTATGTTGTTGTTATGTGCTATCGAGTCGGCCCTGACTCATAGCGACCCCTCCTTGGGTTGCCGAGGCAGTATCACTATGGAAGTAGATCGCCCAACCTTCCTTCTGAGGAGTGGTAGCCTTCTGGTTAGCAGTCAAGTGCTTTAGGCACTATGCTACCAGAGCTCCTAGGGAAGGTATAGACAATTTTAAGAGAACCAGTAACAATTAGTTTATTTTTATTTATATTATTTTTATCTAAGAAGGCATACAGTGCTAATAAACCTAATATCAGTCAAACATTTTAAGAGCCATAGGAATTGATAATCTGAAAAGAAATGGTTTTAGTGTCTTTAAGAAGCTAGCATGAGAGCTATACTACATACCTAATATAACCTGAGGACAATTCTTTGAAAAAATTGCTACGATATACTCAAAATACTATCGTAAATACATACTGATATAAATTATGAGCTCACAGGTTACAGTTGTGACTGACTGAAATGAAATAAAGTCAATTGTTTTTAAATTTTGAGTAGGTTCTTGATACCTCTTATTCTGGTATTTTCACAAGATCTGAGGATTGAAAGATGTATCAAGTCATTTAGCCTAAAGATGCACACACTTTTCTAATGCCCCATGAAAAATGCATACTTGCCAAGTAGCTGTCTGATCCTCCACTTTTTAACACAAGATTATGTGGATAATTGAGCACTTGAAATATGGCTAGTCTGAATTGAGATGTAGTGTAAGGGTAAAATATGTGAGAATTTAAAAGACTTAATCTAAAAAAAAAAAACCAATTTTATACTGATTATATGTTAAAATGTTGTTGCAGTGGTTAAAGTGGTCAGCTACTAACCAGAAGGATCAAACCCACGAGCCACTCTGCAGCAGAAAGATGTGGTAGTCTGTTTCCATAAAGATTTACAGCCTTGGAAACCCTCTAGGGTTGTTATATGTCAATACAGACTCAGTGGCAATGGGTTTTTTAATGGGGTTCCTTTTGCCTGTTTTTTTTTTTTTTTTTTTTTAATTGATGCTACTAGAAAATCTAAAATTACATAGTGGTTTGTATATATTTCTAATGGACAGAGCTGCTTTTGCCTGTGTTGAAAGCTCATTCCTTATGAGAGAAGCACATTTCATCTTTGAATCTCCCCTACTCTTACTTTTTTTTCTTTTTTCATATTAGCGTGTCTATCCTTGATGTTTATATTCAGAGGTTCTCCTTTTACCCTTTGAGACCAAAAAGGGTAAGTCTAATTCCTCTTACTTAATTATTATTTAAAAGCTGGACTCAGATCTCCTGAGTCTTTTGTCACTAATCATTTCTATTCCCTTTAAATGATGTTTGTGTGGGGAGGGGGTTACATCTCACCAACCATCGTTGTTACTCCGGTATGAACTTTCTTCATTTTGCACTTACTAGAAACTAAGTATCTTGTCATCTTAAAATTGCAGATCAGAATAGATTTATCTCCTGCCATATTCTACATGGTATAACTAGTTGCCATTGAGTCTGTTCTGATCCCATGTGTGATAGAGTAGAACTGTGCTTCATAGGATTTTCAGTGACTCATTTTTTAAAAAAATTTTGTTGTGATTTGGGTAAAAGTTTACAGAGCAAATTCATTGTCCATATAGCAGTTCAGATATGCTTTGTCTATGATATTCACTGCAATTTCTTAAGTGTAACAGCTCTCTTTCAGGTAGGAATTAGGTAAGGGGAGGGTGCAGAGGTTTCCAACAGCTAAGGGAGACAAACCTGTGTGTCAGTTTGTCATCCTGTGAGGCTTGTATGTTGCTGTGAGGCTTGAGGCTGTGCCACTGGTGTTTCAGATGCCAGCAGAATTGCACATGGTGCACAGGTTTCAATGCAGCTTACAAACTAAGCCAGACAAGGAAGAAGAAGGAGGCCATCCACTTCTCAAGAATTGGCCAGGGAAAAGAAAACCTTACGAATAGCAGAGAAACATTGTCAGATACATTGCTGGGCAATTTTATGAATAGCTTGGAAACATTGTCCAACACAGTGTAGGAAGACTAGCACCTTGGATTGGAAGGCATTCAAAATAGGACTGGGAAAGAGCTGCTTCATTAGAGTAGAACCAACCTTAACGACACGGATAAAGTAAGTCTTTCAGGACCTCCATGTGCTGACGTGGCATGACTCAAAGTGAGGAGAAACAGCTGGAAACATCCATTAATAATCAGAACATGGAATGTACAAAGTATGAATCTAGGAGAATTGGCAGTTGTAAAAATTTAAATGGAACAGATAAAGATTGATATCCTAGGCATTAATGAGCTGAAATGCATGGGTTTTGGGCATTTTGAATCAGACAACCATATGATACTATTTTGGGAATGACAAATTGAAGAGGAATGGCGTGGCATTCATCATCAGAAAAGGTGTTTCAAGATCTGTCCTGAAGTACAATGCTGTCAGTGATAGGATAATATCCATGTGCCTACAAGGAAGACCAGTTAATATGACTATTACTCAAATTTATGCACCATCCACAAAGCAAAAGATGAGGAAATTGAAGATTTTTTTATCAACTTCTGCAGTCTGAAATTGACTGAACATGCAATCAAGATGTGTTGCTTATCACTGGTGATTGGAATGCAGAAGTTGGAAGCAGAGAAGAATCACCAATAGTTAGAAAATTTGGTCTTGGTGACAGAAATAATGCTGGAGATTGCATGATAGAATTTTGCAAGACCAATGACTTATTCACTGCAAATATCTTTTTTCAGCAACACAAATGATGCCTATATGTGGACTTCACCAGATGGAGTACACAGGAATCAGATTGACTGCATCTGTGGCAAGAGGCAATGGGAAAGCTCAGTCAATATCTTCAGCCAAAACCAGGCCAGGAGCTGATTGTGGAACAGACCATCAACTGCTCATATGCAAGTTCAACTTGAAGTTGAAGA